GACATGGCTTCTCTCAGCTCAGACCGCCATTCTGTGACATGGCGCCTGCATGGGCTCGCTCGGAGATGGGCAGATACATGTCAGATTGAGGCTTTTGCCGTCATGAGAAGCGAAGAGTTTTTCCCCTTCTAACTTTTATGCTCCCTTTTTTTTTTTTTTTTTTTTTTTTTTTTTTTTTTTTTGGGATTCGATATGGGCATCGGCTCCGGTTATACTGGCCTTTTGAGTTTGGGACGGCGTTGCATGATCAGACGATCCCTCAAGACACACTAACCGGAGACGTCGTTTCTTTTAAAACAAAAGTCTACAGATTACAAAGAGATATCATTTACTTCTGTTCAGGGTATCATTCAAAAGGCTCGCATAAAAAAAACAGCGCATTTCAATAAGCCGCTAGACTGCATTGCCTGCAGGGTCCTAGACAACGCATCGGGATGCAATAACATGAGCCGGGGAGGGAGGGAGGGGGGCTTTCGATTGTTTGTCCATGGGACCTACCACAAGGGAGGCAAGTCGCCTCACAAAAAGTAGTCGGTACGGCTGAAATCAGCAGTAACGTGGACGGGTTGTGGTACGCCATCTGTCCACTTGCGACGTTGGAAGGAGGCGGGACAGACGGCCACTGGGGGCAAGAAGGTGTCCAAATTGCCCGTTACTTGGTGGCGCGAATGATTTTGTGCTGGAACACAAAGTAGAAGCCGCTGCGGTGAGGCTCCTCGAGTGTTCCAGATGTGACCAGTGCCGGCCAGTCAGTCGGTTGAACGGGCTGAGCTGCAGGTCTCTGCGCTTCCGTCGTCGACAAATGTCAGCGGACCAGCAGGCATCCTGTGAACGACGTTCCCCGGGCGAGTAAACCTGTAGGATCATGGTAGGCAGACTGCAGCGGCTGGGTAGCACGGCCTCTTCTTGGCCACTCATTACAATTTTACGGGCTCCGAACCAAGGTCTAGAAGCGCCCGTGTCGACTGGCCCTGCTGACCGCATTTATTACACCGTGACATTTTCATTTCCGAGCAATCTACAGAAGTAATAAGCCTGCTACAGGGCGCTTGTTAGGGGGGGCTGGGGCTCCTCCTCGTTGGGGTCCAGTTGGATCTGCATAATGTCGTCCCCCCCGGTCTGATGTATGAAGGAGTCGTGCGTGTGCATGTAAGGAGAAGACAAAGTTCGAAAAAAAAAAAAAAAAGGGATGACTATTCCTGCCGATTCTTGAAAGCAGAATGGCATCACACAACGTCGTGACCGGCTGGTGCTGCACTCGTCTGTCGCTAGCGAGGCGCTGGGCTTGCGCGGACGCCCAGCCGGTTCCTTCTTTTGGCTGGGACTGGGCATCATTTACGGTTCGGTTCCCAGCCTGGCCTCCCTGCCCAGTCAGAGTCCGAGACGGCGATGATCCCAGGTGCCTGGGCAGTGGCCTGGCTGCGTGTGATTGGTCTCTCTGCCCTGGACGAGACCCTGCTACCGTAACTTTGTTGACCCGGCTGGCGGGCTTGTCTGTGATGGTAGTAGGCTGGTCCAAGGAGGAGGCGGGAAAACAAGCTTGCGACAAGGGGACCGGCAGCCTCAGCAGGTAGATCTGCATCTCAGGCGGCGATCCGTTGGTCACAAATGACGTTCGGCTGGTACCCTGTACCCTGCGGTGACTGTGGATTTATCGTGCTGCTGGGCGTCCATCTGCGGTATCAGGTACATGTTTCCAAAGTCGAAGACGAGGCGGCATCTGTCAGAGATCTGCAATTTCGCGCAGTTTCCGGCTCAATTACGTATTCTAGTCTCTTCACTGGCCAAGTTATGAAGGGACCCTTGAAGGAAGGGTTCTCTAGCATTATTGGCTTGAGATATGTGTTTCGGAGCAGTGACAATCGTTCTTTTTCCCTCAGGGGAGCATTCCAGGCTACAGGAATGGCGGGATTGGATAAAGGCGAACAATTTGCGGTGGCACGCAACAGATGCCGTGCGCCAAAGTTTGGCGACCGGTTATTGGCGAGGAAATAGACCCTGAAGAAGGTTTTTGTCTACGTAACTATCTACGACAATCTTGAACAAAAATACACAAAAAGGCAAAGCGTAGGTGCCCGACGCTTCCGTCCTAGAGTCGGGAGTACGGGACGGACGGTCCAGTGTATTGGGTTTCGGGATACGCATGCATCCAGATGTTGGAGCATACGTGGACAGTTGGCGGCAAAGGCAATGCAGTGGCAAAGACACACAAAGGCAAAGAAAAGGCAAAAATCGATGAGTTAATATCTCGTACGAGATTGTTGACTGATGACGCCGAGTCGGCCGTGAGACATTGATGCCTAGACATATCAGCCAGGCATCTCTTGAACAAGTCATTGAACGTTGGGATATCTGTCATGTACTAAGCAGACGTACACTGGGGACTGGCTGGCGCCTTGCTGGAGCAAACAGTTCGCAGGTTTTGCCTCTAACGCTGTTCCGCGAGTCCGCGAGCACAAGGCTGGGCTGTGACCCCTGGGGCCAGGCGGCAACACACAGGGACTCGCAGTCACGAGGGAGCCCTGCATTCGTACCAGCAGGCAGTAAGTTGGGCAGGTCGCCCCAAGTTCAGTAGTCATCGTTGTCTCGACCGTGTTTAGGAAGGGGGAAAAGCGGGAACATTCATCATCATCATCATCATCAGCAGGCAAGGCGAGGCAACAAGGGCAAGGCAGGACGGTACGAGTAATCAGAGACGGGAGTTCCAGACACCCGCTCGCTCGCCCCCCCACTAACTAAATTATCATGCAGAAAGAAAGGCGGGCCTGTCCAATGGTGTAAGTAGGCCACCGTCCACCAAGTACGAATGCAGACGGGCTTGCTTGGGCAGCGAGAAAAGGCCAGCGGCACGGCGCTGGTGCATGCATATGCAGAAGCAGGAAGCTCCTGGCCAATGAAGTGAGAAGGATGATCTGGCTCATCACACAGAAGACTGGGGAGAAGGGGG